TCTTATGAGCGCCTTATACAGAGGAATAAATACATCTATTTATCTGTTGGTTATTGCAGCTCGGAGTTCAAACAGCGCTTTCCGGGCCTTGTGAGCTTCTTGGGCGCTCTGCTCGCTGGGGGCAAAACTGGATGTAACTGTTAGTCCAAGTTCTCTGACGTGCCTCTTGTTGCAGAATATGTTGAATGAATATGTCGTTGATTCGAAGGGCTAAGTCTTAGATTGGATTCGGGAGCATTTTCACTTAGAACCCAACATTGGTTGTATTCAAAGGTAGGTTCCACCTCACCATCCACGCTGAGAGTCTGTCTAAGTCACCTTGTATTGATTGGGTGACGAGCGGACGAGCCGCCATCTATTTGGACGTCATCTGCACAGATGAGGCGTGAATTTTCAACCTCATCAGGAAGGTCGTTGATAAGTACAGGGAAGAGCAGCAGTCCAATTATTGGCCATTAGGGGACACCAATAGTCGCCTNCGCCTTTTCTCCGCAGGAGACCTTGCATCTAACATTTACCTGGCATGTGCATTCATCAAGTAAACTGGCTGTCCAGTTACATACTTGGGTAGGGGCCCCTGTGCCTCTTAATTTAGGTAGTAGGAGTAAGTGATTAACAGAGTCGAAAGCCTTTTGGAAGTCAAGGTAGTACATCTTGACTGTCTCTCCTCTGTCTAACTTGTTTGTTACCTCATCGACAAACACCAGGTTGGTCAAGCAGGATCGACCATTGAGGAATCCGTGCTGTGCTTTCGAAAAGAACTGCACGCGTATTAGGTATTGCCAAGGATGGATGGTGGCAATCAGAGACATTCATGCAGCCGACTTGTCTTTTCCAAAGAGCCAGCCGTAGTAAAGTAAGTAAGACGGTGACGGATGGAGACGATGAAACAATGCTGGTGAACGCAAGGAGTTAACCCCTGAGCAATTGGAAAACCGAGCGTCTCGTGCAGTGGGAGAGTTGGACGATGTTAATATGGGTGAGTCTGTTGTCCCTACATGATAAGCTGTTTCGTGTAGGTGTACCGATGGAAAGGTACTGGATTAAAGGTGCAGTTCTCTTTTATAATTCTTTATTACAGGTAACGTCAATAAAAGTTTGCCCAGTATAACAGCCGTGGAGGAGCAGAAAATAATCAAGGCAAGTGTGATTTCCCAAAATATCTCCAAGGCCGAAACGAAAAAGGCGTCCTCCACGCTTCCGGCTAATAATCCAAGCAGCTTCGGTTGCTGGAGGAGAAGTTGAAAGATCCCGATTACTTTCAGCAGATGGTATGCCGCTTTTCAGCACTTATACAAATCATTTATAAAGGAATATATATCTAACGTAGGCGGATACTGTGCTACCAAGTTCATTCGCCACGCGATGAATGTTTTCTTGCAGGCTTCCGTAACAACCATGATAAAGTGAAAGGCCGATTATAGCAAGTTGCGTTTCAAGTACACAAGCGCGGCGCGAGCGGTTGTCGGTAAGCGCTTATCTTCGAAGTAACCATATTTTTCTTTCATCAGAGAAGTTTCCATGGGAGTCTAACTCCAAATACACGAGAGAATCCGCCGGTGGAATCAAAAGTAGCGAGAAAAATGTTATTGACGCGATGTTATTGAGGAGAACATGCCATACGGACCAGCCAGGACTTGTAGACTTTAATTTTTGTTTATTCATTCTACATAACACTTTACCTGGTTACCACTAAATAGTGTTTTATTTATACAAAGGGACCGTTGGGGATAGATTTATATTTCGGTCGTTATAATACTGACTGAAATTGAATTTGCGCACCGAGGGTTATTCTGGCTCTGGTGGTATGAAAGATATAAATGCTGAGGGATGGCAGTCGCCTAATAATTAGTATCCTATGGAAGTATTTATCCATGTGGAAGCTTTCTTTTTATTTCGATTCGTGATCGCTCAGAGCTTTTGCAGTATTTATGTATATTATTACCGTAGAATGTTCGGAACAGGTGTGAACCGCGTCGGAAATATGATTAGGTAGTCAGGTATTATCCTCCGATCTCGGTACTAATCCAGTCCCTCAGAGTCCTATGAGTATATATTATATTTCACACCTGTCTGAGGACGGACTGTTTGCCAAAAAAAATCGTGGTACAATAATCTTTATAAAAAAGAAAATGTTCCATGATTGGCTTGTGGACTGAGTACTGCCAGGTTGCCC